GTGTGGAGTGGCAGCATACACAACATTAGTTTGAAGTTTTAAGTAAAGCTGAAAAAAGTAAGAGACTTTTAATTGGATTATATTTTTTGTTTCTTGTTTGATTTTGCAGAAACCATTGACGGGTTTAACATTTAATTTATATTAGTATGGCTAAAATATTTCGTTTCACTCCGCATAGGTTTCGTTAAATAAATGTTCACAAACTTTTGAAGTACATAATTATACCTCTGTACGCGTACTCGCTCTCCGTAATCAAGCTACATCATAATGAATGAAGTTATAATGAATTAACAAGTTTAACGCTGTTTAAACTTCGTTAAATTTACAACTGTAATAATATTTTATTTTGTTTGAAAATCTACTTCGTATGTAAAATGAACACGTAGCCCTTATTTGAGTTTCATTCGAATTAATATCGTAGTTTTCTTATATTTGACTTTGGACGTCGCGACGGGTGAGGTCTTTGACCGACGCCTTCGCGTTGTCATAGCAACGGATATCTATGTACGTAATGCCTACATGCATATATGTACTACTTCTTTAATGGTTCCTACTTTGGGTAATCGCAGTAAATCCGAATGTCGCCCTTCTGATTGCGATAGTAGGTATGTATACGATTTTCTTCCGATCTTTCTTTTTTTTTTTCAGAAGTGGTTATTTTAATCTAATTGATACAACTACAACTAACCGATACAACTCGATAGGCCCGGCATGTGGTGGATGACTAAGGAAGTCTTTTTCTTGTCTGCTTTGTCGGCTCGTATAATTTACAAAATATTTAGGTCGGGGCAAATAATGTGTTTGCTATCTGTGTTGTGTTTGTTTTATTTTCTCGGTAGAATTAAAGTGAAATTGTCTAATTTAATTACCAACAAATAGTAACGCATGAATGCCTAATAAATTATAGTTATTCTTGTTGTTGTTGGCAGTCTGCCTCATGACATTATTCATTTTAGATGCATTGTCGGAATCGTAGGCGAAGCACAAACAGTTTGAATATTATTTTTACGATTTCGTAATGCACACAGTTTTCTTTAGATTTATATTATAAAGCGTAATTTAAAATGAGTGTAGGTTAGAAAATCCAATACAATAATAGTCTGTTTGATTATGAAGTAGAAGGTACTATTTTATAGTCAAACCATATCAGCCATGTAGGGCTGTCATTATTAATAATACTTCTCCATCTTCCGCCTCTAGTACCCATATCATCACATTTACTACGGCGGAACCGAAAACTTATTCACAAAACATTCGTAATGACCTCGCTGGACCATGGGTTCGAATAGGAACTTTGGTATTGGATATCTACTGAAAATTTCCCGACGCTGTCAACCCTATTGTCTTTATAGTTCAAATTAATTTTCTAATTTAATCATTGAGCTTCTAATCTGATCTCTCAATTTAAGGCTTTGCTTGTTCCAGTAGAGTTGACATCAATTGGATGGTCGTTCATAAAACTGAATGCAAAATGGAATACAAACTTGACGATGCCTGATACCGCCATACTGTAAAAATCCTTTTTTTATTATTATTGCTGTATAGGCAGAAAAGCATACCGCCCACCTGATGGTGAGTGGTTACCGTCGCTCATGAACATCAGCAATGCCAGGAGCAGAGCTAAGCCGCTGCCTACTGTTTAATACTCTCCGCAAGCCTCGTTTGAAGAAGGATATGTCATAGCTCATTCCAAAGCCGGAGTCCTTGTCATAAACAAGAATCGACATAATTAAAATGAAAGTCGAGGTCAGAATTTCTCTGACGTATTAACGTAACTCTGTTATGACTCACTTGTTGCAAAAACCCATATCAATTTTAGATCATGCTTATCGTTATATATTGGTTTTGCCTGTCAAAACAATACCTCGTTACTTTAACATTGCTTATACGTGGCCTCGTTTAAAATATATACATCATGTATATACAGTGCAAGAAATCCAACCGTGAATGATGTTCTAAAAAAAATTAATTAATACCGTTCCAAATTGTGGAACATTTCAAAAATATGGGACCACAGTGTCCCACACGGAAACATTTCTTTTTACTCGCTTATTTTGAGTGGTAGAAATAGAAGTGTCGTGGTGCTAATCGTTGGAAGTCTATTTACCACCAGCGTAAATTCATTTTCGCTTTCAGTTTGATATTATGACGGTGTGACACGTTTGAATGTTTTCTTCGTAGAACGTATTTGCGTCCAGTACGTATTTGCGTCCAGTTGTATGTAGTTGCTTAGAGAAATTGATGTCCACCTTCGGGATTTGAACCGGGCTTAGTCGCATTGTTTGACATGAATAAAAATACACATAAGGTTTTTTCTCGATTTTTCATGTTCATAATAAGGTTGATTATTTTCTGTATTGTGTTTTTGTGTGTGTGTGTTTGTGGTCGTGTGTGTTCGTGTGCATGCGCGTTTGATGGAGAACCAAATCATCAATGGATTTTCTATGATATAGTAGTAATGTTTTGGATATCTACAAATGATGTCATGGCGGTGGTTAATAATGATATAATGCACGTGTGTTGGAGCCGCGGGCTGCGTTTTGTCTAAACAAAGGTTTTCTTGCTTAATGACATTAGAGCAGAGATTTTTATACCGTACATACATATGTGTGTATATTTACCACAGTCATACTCCTGTTTTTGAATTTATTATAAGTTTATACATTAGACTAAAAAAAGATAAATACTAAAATAAGACTTTACACGTTTTCATTTTCTATTATTTCGTTCGTGATTTATTCCTTTGAATAACGAAATTTCAATGTTATGATTTTTAAATATATATATACTGCACATTATCTGGCTCCAGCGTTACCTTTTAAAACATAGGTGAGGATGTCACGATGGCTAATGAAGCGTAAACGGGTCGCGCCGGATTCTCGCACCGATGCACCCACTGTTGTGTTCCGGGTTTTGCATTAACGTTTGTACCGTTACTGCAGGCTGAATATTTTATTTATTTTTGTCTATCTGCTCATCTGTCAGCTCAGTAGTCGGACATTAAAACTTTAAACTTAAATTATGACCACGCTTCTGTTTAAATTACACTTGTTGTTAGTGTGATAAAAACCATTAAAATCTCTTAGTCAAGAAAAAATTCAAATGACACGTGGCGTTGTATTTATTGGAAGTGTGATACGGGCCATTCAAATCTCTTAATCAAGAAAAATATTGTTTTACAAATCATAATAAAATAAATATTCTTATATTTTATAGCTAATAAATAATGGTCGAATAAACTTTGTTGACGAATTTTGAGGCTTTAGGCCAATTTCTGTTATAAATTTTACTAACGCTATATACCCCACTAACATTCACCTTACTAAAAGTCGTAGCTGTTTCATAGCAATTAAAATATGAAATTTTCGAAATAAGAACCTAAATAAGAAATACAATACCGAATCTTCTCAACTCCATTTATCGTTGAGTCGTTTGAATCCATTTATGTAAAATAAAACGTTTTATAAGACATTCAGACTCGAAGGGACGTGAAAGTCGAATGGAAATCTTTGGAAGCTGTTTAAGATTTACGGTCTCCTTTTAGTGGAAATCACATTTGAGAGAGAACATCAAGGCCTTTGCTTTATTCATAAACCTTCCTATTTCATTTTAAATATGTATTTAAATTTCATTATTGTAACTAGTGTTAGAGCGTGATGATCACAATTCGACCGTATTCACTAACCCCTACGGACTTGATTCATTTTAATATAACACCAGTTGATATATGGAGGAGAAAATTGTACTCAACTATTTTGTCTTTCCTTCTTCTCTTCTGTCATCTCTGTCTCTAATATATAATAAATAATAAACAAAATGTATCAATGGAAAAAATGATGTAACAGTGTCGATAAAATACCACTGTTCGCCTAAAGACGCATACTACACCTATGCCATGTTATGTAGAGTTGATGAATTGCTGACATAGTCTTACAGACTTTGTAATTGTTCGTAATAAATATATAGAATGTATACAGTCGATAATAAATTATGTAGAGTAAATAAATACAATAAAAAGTTATCAATCTTTTCAGAAAACATCAATTGAACTAATTTTATAAGAATTCCTCTGAAAAAGGATTCTGTGCATTATTAACTTTCCTAAGTTGGATGTGATTTACAATAATGAAAATGTTTCCGTCTCTTTGTTTGTTGAGAAAGTTTCGAAATGAATCACGAACTCCATTATGGTATTAAAAAGTTTTTGTGTAAACGGTGAAAATTTCCATTTGTAACACCTACTTAGATATTAAGGCCGCGGACTTCAAGGACTTGTTCCGATAAATAAATAAATCAGATTGTTAAATGTATTTTTGATGTAATGATTTAATTGTAGTTGTTTACAGATATTTTTATTATCATTAGATGCGTCATTTATTAATTAAAATATGTAGGTACATGAAATAAGCTGCTTGATAAATATTATCCAACATACGGTTCAGAGTTCACACTCATTCATTTGTGTATGATTACGAAAAGACTTATGTAATATTAATTAGGCGTGTCTTACACAATCCTCAGAGATACAAACCTGCGCGGCATCATAGTTGCACTAAATGAATAAACGTGCTCAAGGCCCCCCTGGTGCGAAGTGATCAACCTTTTCCACACTCTAAGCGGAACGTATGATCGCTTCACATTTCCATATATACATAATAAACAAGCGATAAACCGATTTTTTATTACCAAGTACGTACCTAGTAGTGCGACTTATTGTCGGCACACCATGGCTTTTTCTGCTTCGAAGAAACCATGTGTTTGAATTTTATGCCTAAGAACAACGCGTATTATAATGCAATAGAAGCTTAGACAAACAAAGTGAACAACAGTATTCACATCGTGTTATGTTTATGAGCTATGGTAGGCTTTAGTTAGGAACGAACAGGTTCTGTCCGAACTCCTATGACTATCTAAGTCAGTTAAAAAAAATCTTAAATAATTTAGCTGTTTAATAATTAATATGATATGTAGATAAAGCTGTTGTATCCTTTTATTTCCAGGGAACAAAACTATGGATAATAATGGAGTATTTAGGCGGAGGCTCCGCCCTCGACCTCATGAAAGCGGGTAGTTTCGAAGAAATGCACATAGCTGTGATACTAAGGGAGGTACTCAGGGGACTGGATTACCTGCACTCAGAAAGAAAACTCCACAGGGATATTAAAGCCGCCAACGTTCTGCTTAGCGAGATGGGAGACGTTAAATTGGCTGATTTCGGTAAGGATAAAACTAATTATTATAAAGTACTAGCTGACCCGGCAAACATTGTTTTGCCATATATAAGATTTCTAGGGAATTTCTAGTGTAGAAAACGAAAAACTAACTTATTGTAAGGATGTGATACATTAGTGAAAGAGGCATGTAGCGCTGTGAACGATGAGGGAATATAAAATTATCAAAACCTCATTTAACCACATAATGCCTCAAAGTAACAAAAAAAATGTCCAAAAAATAAAAAATTAATGTGGTGGAAAACCCTTATCACTTAGGGGTATGAAAAATAGATAGTAGCCGATTCTCAGACCAACTGTACATGCATATAAAATTTCATAAAAATCGAGCCGTTTCGGAGGAGTATGGGAACGAACATTGTGACACGAGAATTTTATATATTAGATATCAAAATTAGGAGAGCGTCGGTTCTTTTGTGCCGATTTTCATTTTCTCTAAATATATCGTTTGCGAATACATTTACGTAAAAAATGGGATTCAATGTCTTGGCTTTATAACGTTTCTCTCTACGTTCAAACGTTGTTCTTCTGATTCACTTGAGATTGTGCATACCTAGTGTTGGCACAATATCATGGAATCTACAATGTAAAATATGGGCGAGCAAAAATGAGTAATCATGTATTTAGTGATAGTCACAGCGTAGTATTTGTAAGCTACTTTTATTTTAGACGATAAGAACTATTTGCTTGTTAAGCACAAGTTATAGGGAACCACTTATCGTAAAAGCGGATGTGTCGAATATCGGAAGCGCTCTCAAAGAACACGTTGCAGCTGTTTTCATCTTTCCACGCGAGTTAGGAGTAAAATACGATTGAAAATACTAATATTTAATTTTTTGTCCCTGCATTTATTTATTCCGATGTTTGAAATACACTTTTAACGGTGCGTGTTTCATGTTCGCCAATGGTGAAATTTTCAGCAAAGTATTATAATTAATTATGTGCAAGATGCTACCTACGTTTTAAGAATTCAAGTAATTGAAACTCGAGCATTAATCTAATAAGTATAATATCAATGCACACATTATCACACTGGGTCACAGTTTTGGGGGGGGGGGGAGGGGTCTTAAGATCCCATCAAGCCCCATTTTTATTTTTGTATTGTAGCTTGTGTATATATAGCATAGTAGAGATGAACAATTCACCAAACAAAATAATTCAATAACAAAACCAAAGAGAAAATATAATACATTTAATGAATCTAAACCTTGAGGCATTTGTTATTATGGACGTTTTTTTATTATTTTTTATTGCTTAGATGGGTGGACGAGCTCACAGCCTACCTGGTGTTAAGTGGTTACTGGAGCCCATAGACATTTACAGCGTAAATGCGGCACCCACCTTGAGATATAAGTTCTAAGGTCTCAGTATAGTTACAACGGAGCGTTAAATGGGAGCGCTTGGCAGCACAGCGGCCAGAATGGCGCAGGATGGTGAACAGCAAAGTACGCGAGTTCGAGGATCAGCGTAAAGCTGACCTTGATTACAAACGCGACCAGTTGAAGGCCCGCCCACCTGCTGCCATAACCTATAATTATGAGAACGGCGTGCTTACGTGCCCTCAATGCGCAAGGAGTTTTGCCGCAAAGATAGGCTATATAAGCCATCTTCGAGCGCACGAGCGCCAAATCGACGGATAGGAGTCAAAGTGGTCGCCATGGCCGAAATCGGTCGGATGAATCATCATCATCATCATCATCATCATCATCATAGTTACAACGGCTACCCCACCCTTCAAACCGAAACGCATTACTGCTTCACGGCAGAAATAGGCGGGGCGGTGGTACATACCCACGCGAACTCACAAGAGGTCCTAGCACCAGTAATTACGTAAATTATAATTTTGCGGGTTTGATTTTTATTACACGATGTTATTCCTTCAGCGTGGAAGTTTTTTTTTTTTTTTTTTTTTTT